GGCTCAAAATACTGTGCCTGGTGTGGCGGGTGGGGAAGGAGGGGCCGCGGCTGGAGCCAGGAGGAGAGAACAGCTGGGAGACTGTGGGATATGGCCGAGCCAGAAACCCTAATGGTGTCCTGTGCCTGCGTACTGCTGCTCGCTACCGTGACTCCTTTGTTTTTCAACATTGAGTCCTGCTGAGGAATGTCTACGTGTCCCTTTATCTTTAGTGGGTTCATAAACTCATTTTCTCAGAGAAACCTATACAGTACCTGTAGACGTTGGAGCTGAGCAGGCTTGCAGCTAGGCCGCATGTGGATTGGTGTGTGCTAATGGCAAGGGGTGTTTAACCTCAGCTGGAGCTGTCACGTTTGGAGGCTGGTGGTATGCCCACAGAGAGGAGTGAGCTGTGCCTTGTGTCCTGGGGGAGTTACAGCTGGAGATGGGGTGCCAGACGCTGGCCTTGGGGGAGGGCACAGGGTGTCCGGGGTGTCTGTCTGAAAAACATTGGCCAATGCACCTTGGGTTGTGTCTGGCAAAAAGGAGTACCTCCGGAGCAGGCAGAGCATCTATAGATTACACCTTCTGGCCACGGTGCTTCAGTCTATTTAGATGTCAAACTAGAGATTTAACCGCTTAAATTTAAATGTACGATGGGGGGGGCGGGGAAGGTGGTGTCCTGTAAAAGGAAATTCTTGCAAGTTGCTTGCCCACTTCAGTGGCACTAACGCTTGGACATGGGACGCGATAAGTGTGCGCAGCGGGGCCAGAGCAGGGTTAGTACCCGCAGAGTGAGGCCTAAAGACCACGGCGGGGGCATCTTCACTGGGAGCAGACCTGATCGTAAGCTGCTTTTCACACACTCTAGTCACTACAGAGAAGCTCTCTTCTCTAAAGCTTATAGATAAATAACTAAAAGATTTGAATCTGACATCTTAAAGTTTTTTAAAAGCCAGAAAGCATCTCCTTTATTTGGAAAGGAAATTTGAGACTCAATTACTTTGCTTTAAAAGGTCCCAGGCTGGCGGTTCAGGCAGGGGAAATGCTTGTTTACTGTGGTTCCTGAACAGCTAGCAGTCTCTTCTCCCCATTTTACACCTTGCCCAGACCTGAAGGGGTTACGTTTTAAAATGAATAATGACTAAATTTATTCGTCATGGACAAATGATGACAGCTGTTGAGATGCTCCTGTTAGCGTTTCCCAGGGGATAAAGTCAGGCTGGTTCCTAGTTCAAGCCAGCCCAGCCAGGCAGACTCAGCTCGTCTTCATCCCGGATTATTTGTCCCGGGTAGCAGGGAATTTTCTTCCTAGAAGTGAGCTGAAGTTTCCTGGGCTGAAATGGGTGTTGATGAGAATCCCGCAGAGCCGCAATCGTAGAGAGGACTGAAGCCGTAGCTGTTTAAATCCACGTGTGAAGACAGCATGCTTAATGAATACGAGGGGCAATGATTGATTATGTTCTGGACTGAAAGCCGTGGCGCTCTGTGAAGCACTGTTACATCTGGGCACGCTATGGAAAATATGAAGGAATGTTGAGGAAGCTTATTTGCAGGAGGATATGTACTCGTAAGCAATTTTTTTTTCTTCTTAAATAACGTAAAGGAATTGAGAAACGTAAAGCAAATTCGGTTCTCTGTTTCTCTAAGACAGCAGAGTGGTGAGGAGACAAAGGCCTCTTTTATAAGGGCATGTCTCTGATGGAGAGTGCTATATGGCCCTTATAAATGAGCACTGGGGGGTCTTGGGATGGGAGAACATCAATGATTATTTAATGTAAGAACATGGCACCGATTCCGCTTCAGTGCACCTCTGCCTGGAGTCATGAGAGTTACACCCATGCTGAATTTACCACCTCGTGATTTGCAGATACGCTGCAAAAAATATGATCCTAGTTCAAATGATTACTGTGCACAGCAGTCAACAAATGGGGGGGGGGAGCAGGGAGGGAGGCTTTTTAATGGTAATGTATGGTAGCTTGTTTTTCTCTTATTTTCTGTACTTCCATGTTCAGGTTTCTTTCTGTTCTTTGTTTCTCTTTCTGTCCTGCACACGTGCTGCTGGAAGACTTGATGTGCAGTTCTGAATGTGGCGCTGTCATTCTGCACTACTCAGATGAGAAAATGCTGTTTGGTCATTGAAGGGATATTCTGTTTTAATAAATATGTAATGCTTAGTTTGTAGACTTAACGAACAGGAAGATGTGATTGTAATCCAAACATCCCCAAAACTGTGGGCTGGCTGGTTGGTTTTTTGTAGCGTTGTTTTTTTAGCTAATGCTCAGAAAAGCCTGTTTTAAATTAAAATGATAGTTTAATTGCTAAAATGCTACAGGAGTGCGATCCTTTTAATAATCTGTTTTTCTGAATTTTTATTTATTATACGAAATAGGAAACCACACCCTCTTCTTTCAGAGGGGTGAGGCTTTAAAAATGCAGATAAAAGAAATGAGTTAACTAAGACTGCATCTAGATAGCCTGAAACGCAGCTGATGGAGAATTTTATTACCAGATAAAAAGTGGTTTTGAAGGAGTAAAGTATCTTTTGTTTTGAGTATGACTGACTTTCTCTTGGCTGGTAATATATATGAGACAAATAATCATTTGCTTAATATCTGTAGATGAGCTTTTGAAATAAATGCATTTGGGGCAAATTTCACTTGGAAGCTTTTGTATTTAAGGTCTGTGCAAGTCTTTCTGCATCACTTAAACCCCTTCCTAGAGAATTCAGAGATTACACGTTTTAAAGTTTATTTTGATCTGCCATGACCTTCTATGCAACTCTCACCAAATAATGTTTTTGAAATAATTCCTGTTTGAACTAGAGTGTACCTTTCAGGAAAAAAAATTCAATCTTGCTTTTAAGAACTGCCTGTGGTAGAATCTGCTGGGTGACACACCTCCTAACCTTGTAGGGAGTCAGTCCTGTGATTATTGAAAAAAATGGAGGGGAAAAAAAAGGGAGGGAAAAAAGGCAATTCAGAATTTAATTTGTTTTTAACCTCCAGCCAGTGGCCTTGCTGTATATTTTTCTATTAGGTGAGAAATAATATTAATAAATCACACTGGAAAACTATGTTAATAAATCATGAGTTGCTGTGTTAATATAATCAAGCAACTTGTTAAGAATCTGGCCAGGCTAAACAGTCCCCTACAGTGAATTTTCATTTAATTTAATTAAAAACATATTTTCCAATCCTTTAATCATTCTCATGATCCTTCCCTGAGCTCTTTTCAAATTATTTTTGAATTATGGATGTCAAAACATGACCAGTCAATAGGGGGGTAGCACGGCCTCCGTGGCCGCCTTAGGGCACTGTGTTAAAGAGAGAGCCCATATCGGAACTGTGGCTTACGTTCTTCTCCTTAGCTGTGTGACCCTAAATTTCTTCATGTTAAAGTTCGTATGTTCACTTATGTCTTGTTTACTTGTGCCTGAACAACAGTCCAAGTACCTGTTATTGTATCACCCTTTTCCTTTAGATGTTACTTTTTTTTTTCCCTAGCCCTTTCCCATATTCCAAGACTTCTTGAACATCAGAATTAAGGGGAGAGCTGTGCTTGGCCACCTTTCTTAATTTCTTGGATGATGCTGTCTACCTGTCATTTCAGTGTCGTGCTGTGATTGGAGTATGGCATCGTGTGCACAGGTGCTTATTGGAAATGTGGTTTTTAGGTTTTTAGATGATTTGTGACAGTTCTCCTGTGCCCAGCTGCTAATAAGCCAATACCACTTTGGGTAGGGAAAACTCCTTAAGGCTGTTGGGCTGAGGACAGTACAGGCTTTTCTTTCTGTTCTTTTATCTCCCCTAGAATATGTCTATGCTGTTATCAGTTTATTTTCTTACTTTCAGAAAGCTCAACCTGTATTAAATTTCACTCATTAGTGTCTAACTAGGAGCCTGTATTTGTTACTAGATATTCCCAGGTGCTTTCCTGAACAGGGATGGATTAAAGCACCTGCTTGATTTTTTTGCCAAGTGAAATTTCACAAAGAACATGTTCCCGAAATGGTGGAGAGTGGGTGCGTACCTTGGACTCTCGGAGAGGGATGGACATGAAGCAGGTCTTGAATGAAGTGTTAGTGTGGAAGAGCTAAGTGATGGGGACTGAGGTGGTTTTTCTGGCCTCAATAAATAATGCGCGCCATCCATATCAGCTGTCCAAACACTTTGTCACCTTTCAACCCAAGGCTGGTTTTTAAAGTGGATTAGCTAATCTGTGTAGAACTGCAATATAAGCACTCCTTTGGAATTGAAGTGACCTTCACTGAGAATCAAAGTGACTGTAATTCATTTTAAGTTAATTTATTTCACGTTTGGGAGTAGAGGCTGCTGTTCCCTTTGGATCTACGCAGAGGGTTCAGTAAATTTTAATACATCTTATATTTATGTTTTTTATGAATTTGAGGTAACTTTTTCTATTCCTTTGTAAAGAATCTCTGGTGATAATTTAAAAAGTTAAAGTGGATTTGTAGCTCTGGATGGCTCTGTGATTAATGGTCTGTGGTTTATCAACAGCATGGGTGTGCCATGCGATCTTTCCTGGGTTACCCTGTTTATTCTCGATCTGGTGAGGCAGTTGGTGGGGTGTGACAGGGCAGCCTGTACTGCCTGATCCCCGCCACACTTGGATCTTGGATTTGCTCATGGTCTTGGTTTCACTACAGCCCATAGCAAAATAGCTCTCGGAGGCATAAACATCAGACATACAGACTGTAGACACCCCAAGTATTATCTGTGGCTTGCACCCTTCTGCTGTAGATTTGAAGTTTATTCTTTTTATCTGAATGCATTCATTGAAAGGGTTTATAACATAGTGGCCGCAATAGCAAAGGATTGGGTTCGGTGGCCTGGTGGTCATTCATGAACAACCAGATTTCTAGCATGAAGATCCTGCTCTGAGATGAGAGCTGGCAGAGCAGACCTGAAAATGCAGCATGTTTGCCATCGCGTGGGCATGTTCCTTGGGACATCCCTTTGCTTCATCGGACTTAGAGCTGAGTGTGCTTTTTTTGGCAGATAAAATTTTTGATGATGAAGACTCCGTGGATGGGAACAGGCCTTCCTCAGCTAGCTCCTCTACATCTTCAAAGGCCCCTGCAAACTCACGCAGAGTTGGGATGGGGACTACCCGCAGACTTGGGTCTGCAGCTCTGGGCTCCAAGTCTTCAAGTAAGCCGATAGCATGTGTGAATTGACCTTTATGCAAAGTATTTATAGTGTTCATGTTTGAGCTTATTGCAAGAACTTCCAGACTGGCCCCCAGGATCCAGTAACAAATTTTCCCCTATGAAATCATTATGTCTATGTTGTCTGCATGCCACAACCGAAGTTTGGTAGGATGAATCTCCAAGCAATCCCTACATCCCTATAATGTGTTTTGCATTTTTGAAAGGTTGGACCTGCGCAGTTGTGCACTGAGGGCTGAGTAAATCATGTCAATGTTGCAGTGTGTAGATTTTTGCCTTTATAGCTGCAACTCTAGTTGAACTGAGGCAGGCTGCTTACGGCTCCCTGCTAAACTTCAGCCCATGCAATTTAAAACTGACACATTGGCTTTCTTCTAAGACCTTTGGGCATTGCTGGTAATGAAGGTGCAGAAAGAAAACTGAGCAATAATTCTGAATGTGAGCAATAATTCTATGTGTGATTATAATTCTACATGTGACCTAGAGAAATGGAGAAAGTTCCCCATATCGGACAGTCTCTAATCTGATTAGTATTCCAGAGACTATTTATCTTCCTTATCATTTGTCTGTTTGTGCACCTGTCAGATCTGCACCTTCATCTATTATAGATAGGATTAAATCCTTTAAAATAAAATCTCCCATATAATTAAAGTAAATATTCCCTTTCATCTTTCCGACTGTGTCCCCGAACTGTTGAGTGACTACAGTAATGACTTTCCTAATGCGCCCTCTGTGCCTAGGAGTTGAAGGATACTGTGAATGTCTAGTCTGTGCCTGGTATTGAATTTCCCTTTCTCTGATTTCATTACATCTGCAGCACTTTGAGGCTGCATGGATAGTGAACTTTCTCCTGATTAGGTGCCTTGATAGCTGGTGGTTTCTTAATTGATTCTCTTGTTGATAAGAAGATTGAAAAGGCTTTTTCATTTGTATGTCAGCAGCCAAAGAGGGAGCAGGTGCTGTGGATGAAGAAGACTTCATTAAGGCATTTGAAGATGTCCCAACGGTTCAGGTAAGTAGAATTACATGTTAAAACACACAGTACTAAAAAGCAGAAGATGGATATGGGATCTAGTCCTAATCACTGGCAAGTTGTGCTTCATTGTGATGTTGCCAAATCTTCTTTAAGAGGAAGGCAAGTTGGAAGTTGGAGGGAGGCAGGTTTTAAATGGTGGCATCTGCAAGTAGTTTGTGTGAAACCCTCAGAAGGGGAGGGAATTGGGGTGGGAGGGTTGTGATGGAGGTATCACAGGAGCGGACACGGAGCTGGAACTGGACGTGCACGCTGCGCAGTGCAGTTTGGTCGAACAAAAACTTAAGTCAGCAGAAGCTTCTCTACATTTCATCTGTACCATCTGGGAACTGAAAGCAGTAACGGTGACTTGTGTCCCCGCGATCGCTGCTGTTGTGAGTGCAACAACTGGACAGTGCATGTCTGTCGATAGATTTAGCTGGATAGCTGAGATGTGTCACGTATTCCTTCTCCTTCACCAGAGCTTTATTTCTGGGACAGCTGAACAGCACATGTAAACACTCATGGTCTTCTGTATGTCTTCACTAATATAGCCACTAGCAGCTGCAGGAATGGTGCTTAAAATTGTGAAAATATAGTAAAATAATAAAACATGATCCTTTAGCCATCTTGTGGTCACTTAGTAATTTTTTGATTGCAGGAAATGGGTGTAAATTCTTTGCACTGTGCAAAGCCGGCTGTGTCCAAGGCTAGCCTGTGACATTTAAGCGTTGAGGAGCAAAGGACATAAGAATGTAGTTGGGAAGTGATCTGATTTTTTGGAGTAAATCTTGCATTGTTGTGCTACTCTGTATTTAAATTTGCAGATTTATTCTAGCCGGGATCTTGAGGAATCCATAAACAAAATAAGAGAGATACTATCAGATGATAAGCACGACTGGGAACAGAGAGTTTCCGCGGTAAGCAGTGAATCTAGATATGAACTCTATTAATATAAGCTTTTCCTGCACTGAGCTTAATCCCATGAAAAGGGTACTAGGAGAACCTCAGAGTAAAGCTAGAATGTAGTTTAAGTGGTGAACATCTGTTAGTTCCCCCAGGCTTGGGGGAAACGTTTCCTTATGAGACTGCATTTAAACCACATCTGTGAAGGAAAGTGCTATTCGATATACAAGAATCCATTGAGGCAGCTTCAAGTTGAACTGAAAATCATGCAGCAAATCCAGATGTAAAGCTAGAAATTTGTTAGCAGATGCTGAAATCAAAATGTTAAAAGTGGTATTCAGAATATCTTAAAACTTCCTGATGAGGCAGAAAGTAACTTTGCTTATAGAGAACTTATTTATGTTTTTGCAAAAGGAGGTGTAAAACAATTCAGAAAGAATTTACACACTTAGGTTTTGAATAAATAAATGTGATTGTGAGAAATGTGGAAGTGGCAAATCAGATGTGTTATATATGTGCCAAGATTGAGTCTTATTTACTGAGGTGAGCTGTGTTTTCATGATGTAAATAGATGCATGATCTTGTGTACACTGTAGGCTTTCATCACTGGTGTAGCAACTTTGGCATGTCTGTGAAATCCTGCATTGCAGATCTGAGTGGCAAACTGTGCTGATTCAGCTTACTTCAGGTTTTTTTTGTTTGCCGTACTGAGTAACAGTGAGCTTAAATCGAGGCACTGTACAGATGCATCAGTATACATGCAGGCCTGTGAAGGTGTCCAAAAGAATGTCTATAGGATGAAATGGTGGTCCCTGTAATATTAATTAGAGCCCGATAACTCTGTAGTAGAGCCAGATAACTATTTTAATGAAGTCAATGGACATATTCTAGATATAAGTCAGTATTACTCAGATCTGAATATGAGCCATGCCCTTTAAGTCTAGTCATCTTTTTAATACAATAGTCAGCTGTAGGACGACCTAAGCTTTAGAATCTGTTGTAAATAGATGGTTTCTAAGGGGAATAGAGGAGACCCTTCAAGATACCCTTTGGCTTAAAAAGTAATGTTTGGGTTATTAACAATACTGTTTGAATAGCTGTTTGCAACACTTCTGGATTCCTGTAACAGTTAGCTAGCGTGTTTGTATTATCGTACTTAACATGTTTACCTATGAGTTGAATATAAGATCTGAAATAATGAAATTGCTTGGACTTTAAGAACGGAGTTCCTCAATACATGTTGAGGAACAGTTGTACAAGGACCCTGGAAACCAAGCATCAGCCCTGAACATAACTGTCCTTGTGTTTGTTGCTCATTAATAGTCACTGCTTTCTTTTATGGTGCTAACAGTTGAAAAAGATACGTTCCTTACTTTTGGCTGGAGCTGCCGAATATGATAACTTCTTCCAACACTTAAGACTTTTGGATGGAGCGTTTAAATTATCCGCTAAAGACCTGCGGTCTCAAGTAGTGCGAGAGGCTTGTATCACGTTGGGGTAAGTTTACTTTCTAAATGTGCTTGAAATGTGATGTAGAAAAAAGGAACAGGCACTGGTTAAAACATATTTAGGATGTAATTTGTGCTGCTAGTGCTAGATAGTTATAGGTAGAACATGATTTTGCTACAGCTGTTTAAAACCACGTGCATGTAGGCCACTAATGGTAGTTGTGCCAAACTGTGTTCTTAAGTTTTGAATAATGCTGAATGAATAACGCATGCATTCATGCACCGAGTAGGGAAGATTGAACAATAAAGCTGAAAAGGCATATGTTTTCTTCTGGTTCGGATTGAGCTGGTTTTTCATCTTTTTAGGTTATTCTTTGTGAAATGCTTAAAGAAAAAGGGCACTGCAGTGTTTCTAACAGCTTTTTTGAAATTTGTGCATATTAAGGCAAAATAGGTTCAGAGAAACTGTGATACAAACGAACAAGTTCAGGAAAATACATTCTTTCAGCATTGTCCATTTGTTTGATAAAAAATTTTTAGCTGTGCTAGTTGCTTTATTTATGCTGAACTTACTGTTTCCTAGAGTTCAGATGAACATAGAACATAAGCTTTAAATGAAAGTAAATGAACTATTTTTTGAAACATAGTATTCTCTGTCCTTTGGAGTTGGAGAGGAGGTGACAGTTGGGAAGAGTGAGATGTCAGATGTGCTTATGTCAGATGTTCTGTAGAAGTCTGACTGGCTTAATCCTCAGCACGCTTACCAGCATGACTTCATTCTGTTTTTCAGACATTTGTCATCAGTTCTGGGAAACAAGTTTGACCATGGGGCAGAAGCCATCATGCCAACAATTTTTAATCTAATTCCGAATAGTGCCAAAGTCATGGCCACTTCTGGTGTCGTAGCAGTTAGATTAATCATTCGAGTAAGTATACATCAAAAGAGAACAAAATGTTATCACTTCCAAATACTGTGGTGTTTCTGAAAAAATATGAATGTTACTGCAATGAAAATTAGATTAAGTGCCTAATCTACTTTTCTGACTGTGCTGGGCTTGGCTTTCTCAGATGTCATGCAGCCTTGTGTAGGTGATGATAGTTAAGCCCTGCCAAAATAGTAGGCAAAATGTTTCTTTGCAGAGGTAATATATTTCCATCCCTCTAAGAGCTGAGCAAACTTTTTTCTTCGAATGGGTTTTAAACTTGCCTTGCAGGACAGACTCATCCTCTTAATTACGCTCTAAAACTCCTGACAGACAGTGCACGTTTCCTAAAACCATTAGGTCATGGAGGTAGGCTTCTGCCTAGTGATTCATTGGGGAAGCTGTAGATAGCCTGATATCTCTCAAGTTGTCACCACTGACAGTTTAGATCGTCTTGCAGTGATTTCAGCTCCTTGACTCACTGGAGCCTGTCATTACAGAAGAAAATAAAATATCTGTTAAAGATATTTTAACAGATAAAATATAAAATTTTTAATATTAAAAATATTTGTCTGTATCTGTTAGTGTTCCTTTATTTAGCAGTTCTATTTTTAAGAATTGAACAAGAATAAATATCTAAATACTGAGCTCAGGTGGCTGAAGGAGATGGTCTTTCATTCCATGGAACTGTGGTGTAAAGATTTCTTCCTGTTTTTGTTGTTTGTTTTCTTCTAGCATACGCACATCCCTCGATTAATACCCATCATAACCAGTAATTGTACCTCCAAGTCTGTTGCAGTTAGAAGGTGAGCATTTAATTTGAATTTATTCTCTTTTTTTACCAGTAAATAGGTTCACATGTGCTTTCTGATAAAATTCATGTTTGTTTTTATTCATGAAAAGAGTTGATATACATGCTTACTCAAGAATGCATCGCATTCTTCCCTGAGAGTTGGGATCAAATTCAAAGTCAGCTATCTTGTGTAAGCCGTAGCACTGCAGAGAAGAAAAGGCACTTCTCCTCAAAGAAAAATGTTAGTTAAACTAATCTTTGTGCTTACATGTCGTTATAATAACGTCATATTATTTTGGCTTCTTTACAGACATGTTCCTATTCCCCACTACTAGCCATTATAGTGACACATTTTCTTTCAGCCAGCCAGTCAGTGTTCTGTGATAGTGTCATCTGGAAACTGGACTGGATGTGCTAATGGCCCTCTCTGCACTTAAAATTGGGATTGTTACTGAATTCTAATGTCCCAAAAAGCTTCATAATAAAAGGTGGCTGTTGTTCAGAGGCGGGTATGGCAAAGTCAGTGTGCCTCTCTAAACCTAGAGAACTCAGCATTTCTTCTCTCTCTTCTATCAGGCGCTGTTTTGAATTTTTAGACTTGCTGTTGCAGGAGTGGCAAACACACTCCCTAGAAAGGTAAGCTCTGAAAACAAGTGGGTTAATTCTGTCCTACTTATGTCTGGGGAGGTTAATTCTGGAGAAAGGATAATCTAAGAGGTGAGATTATATCAGGTAGCTCTAGTAGAGATATTTTTGCCGCAAAAAAAGCACGTACGTATTGTGCACATACACCATTCATCCCTGTAGTTCTGACAGTCAGAGTTTGGTGAATCTGTCTCCTATGCCAGCCCTGGAAAACCTGGCTGAGTGAATCCCTGAACTCAGTAGATGAGATGATGTGAAGGCTACTACACATCTATCAGGAGCTTCTGAGGCTTCTACAGTACTTCAAACTAACGAACAGTGAAAATAATTGTGGGAGAAGAGACTGGCACACAATTTCCTTAGCCCTAGACTGTGCAAGACTATTCAAGGATTAAGAGAGTGCTTTTGCACGCAGGCAGTTTCAATAACTAACTAAAGACTGACCCATGAAGAATGCTGCTTGCCTTTTCCTAGTCAGCAATATGGGTGAAATAAAACTGACTTGTAAGTGTAAATAAAGGCTCCAAAGGATGTTACGTGGAAATGGGAAGATGTGATGAACTCTTTGTTCTTGGAGACCAAGGCAAAATCAAATTAGTCATTTGTTTATAAGTGTGGCGCATCTTTCTGGACTGTTGGATAATGTTTTCCTTCTTATTTCAGACACATATCAGTGTTAGCTGAAACGATAAAGAAGGGAATTCATGATGCAGACTCTGAAGCCAGGATAGAGGCAAGAAAGTAAGTGGAAGCTGTTGTTGGTGTCTTTTCTTCCTCCCCTTCTTTGCCCCTGTTGTGTTGTGAGTCAATGGTACTGCATGTTGGAGACTGAAGTCCAGACAAGTCAGGTTCTCTTGGTATTTGGTGCCAACTTCCCTTGGCTTCAATGGGAGTGTGTACTTCAATACGACGCGATAGCATAGGGCTGAGTCATATATGTATCGCATCGTCTAATGGTGCTTGTTTCCCTTTGTTCTTGTAATATTTTATTGTCTTTTTATCTGTCTGAGCAGGTAAAATGCTTACCTGAGTTGTTAAAGAGTCTAGAGTCGAGAACTAGTAACCTCATCTTTCTTTTTGATGTTTGAGTTGCTTGCAGTTAACTGAGATTTTTTTCTGCTTAGTACAAAAATACTATTATTTCTAATACATTTTTTCTTTTCTTTTTGGCCTGTATGCAAGACTGGGTTATCTGCTACTCTTGAAGCAAAAGTCCTTGTGCTAGTACACTGCTAAATGGTATCCTAAATTAAGGAAATATTTTATGACACGGTAATAATATCTTTGTGTGTATCTATAGGAAAGTTTAATATTTGCAGTTACTTTTCTTCCGTTGAAGATCTCTTGGATTTCCATGTTTGTACTTGTGGTAGTATGCTGGTATACTAGGATCATGCTCTTCTGAATAGAATACTACAGGAACGTTTTTCTTCAGAAAGAGGATGCTGTAAAACATGAACTCAATGAACAATAAATGTTATTAATCTAAATGCTTATAGGCGGAGGTGTTTCACAGTAGGACTGTTTAAATCCTTTTGAAAGGGAACGTGTCCATCACTGAAAAATACAGTAGGCACTGAGACTTCACAGCAGGTGACTAGTTAAGCTGAATAGACAGCAAGGAGAATGGCATGTGACTTCAGAGAGCATGCTTAATTCTCTCTTCCCATGTTTCTTAATCAACAGTATGGCTGATTGTAAGACAGAAATTTTCTTCTAGTTATGCAAGAGTGCATGTGACTTCTCTGAGGACTGACTGTCACACACAAACAATTCTTGATTCATTTGAGCTAACGATCTCACTCTTAAACTGCCCATTAGTTGCCCCCTGAAAAGTGCTGAGAGTCTTCATCTCCTTTGTCAGGAGAGTGAATGGTGGTTAGCCATCAGCCAGGAGATTTGGACCAGAGAGGAATTCTTCCCTCATCTTAAAATGCTCTTTTATTTTCAGCATGCCACTGATTGGAAGTCTATAGGAGCATCTGTTTCCTTTTCCTTGTTATTTCTTCCCAAAAAGACAGTCAACAGCCTCAACTCAGTACAGAAGATTTGTCTCTGCAGCATTGTAGAAGAGCTGTTTGTTAAACTTAAGGAAGAGAACAACACCAGCTGGTGCTTTCCTGAGTCAGGCCCACGCATGTGTGGCCTGTTTTTGAAGTAGCTACTGACCTCCCAGTCCCAACCTAGTATCAGTCCAGTGGGTCTACCATCTCCCATATACGGTAGACAGCCGGAGGGATGAGGGTTTCTTCTGTAATAAAGCTTTTTTGACTATTTGTGTTTTTACAACGCACCAACGTTCTTTTCTTCTTATTTTCATTTGGTTTGTCTTCTGTGTGGCTGTTTGAGCCGCACATACAATGAGTTGAAGAAAGTGATATGTCTTAAGTGTGTCATCGGGGCAGTAGATGGTTGAAATGACTGGGCTAATGAGTCCACTAATGCCAGTAGTGAAAAGGGCTCTGACTGTACCTGTGCTCCACTGCCCCCTGAAACACAACAAGGAAATGTTAACGGTATTGTGCCTTGCTTCCAGGTGTTACTGGGGTTTCCACAGTCACTTCAGCCGAGAGGCAGAGCATTTGTACCACACCTTGGAGTCTTCCTACCAGAAGGCCCTGCAGTCGCATTTGAAGAACTCTGACAGCATCGTGTCCTTGCCCCAGTCGGATCGCTCCTCCTCCAGCTCCCAGGAGAGTCTCAAGTAAGTCATTGCCTCTCGATTTAAACAACTGCAGATAGCTCCATTGAATTGGAGGGAGCCATCACATTGCTTTGTCTCATTGTTTGGCCTCAACACTTGGTTATTCCAAAATTTTTTTTTTTTTAGTTAACATTGTATTAAAATAAAAAGCCAGCAAAACCCATTACTGGCTTTAAAAAAAAAAAAAATCATTATCTTGACTCCATAAATAATTTCCTAGGAAGCTTTTTATGCTCAGCAGATACTGTTAGTCATTCCTTCCAGGTGTGATTAAAAAATGCTTGGATTAAAATTCTGTGTTTAGCATTGATCCTACAGGTGTAAGTCTGCCTCTTTCCATATAAGAAAAAAAAAAATGAGTAAACTAAATTTGAGTTGTAACTGCAAAATGAATATGTAACTCTTCTGTTGAATGTATATATTTTAGCTTCTCTTAGAGATACAGTCAACTTAGGATCCAAATGTCTGCAATTTAAGTGATAGACCTACATGAAAAATATCCATAACTTATTGCTGTAACTTTTTAAATCTACAAAAAGTGTTCTTAAAAATCTCTTCTTGCTCAAATAATGTGCGTGCTAATTTTTTTCTTAGTGCTTTTGTAAACAATTTCATGGTGGTGCTGTATTTATTCTTGATCAGTAAGCTTTGTTAGTCTATTCCTATATATAAATAACTTACTATTAACTCAATTGAGTACTGAGGGAACAGAGTAGCACTGTTACTGATGACTATGAAATACCAGCTCTATTTTAATAAATATTTATATTAACTTCTAGCCGTCCATTGTCTGCCAAAAGAAGTCCTACTGGAAGTACTACATCTAGAGGTGAGAACAGGAGCTGAAAAAGGCGCTCAGGTGTTGCTGAGGAAGTGTGATGAATTAAAATGAGAATTTCAGACACTATAATATGCAAAAAACAACTTTGATCACTATTTACTGCTCCTTAAGATGGCAACTTATTATGTAAAATTTTTAATTAGTTTTGGGCCGCACACCACATTCTGTGCATCAACTGCTGATATAATGATGCTTTTGAAAGTTAATAAATCTGTTACTGCTTGCACCTGTAGGGAAGGCTAAAAAGCCTTGAAAATTGTAGCCAAGGTATGTTTAGCTGTGCAGTAGCTAGAATAAACTACCGCTGATGCTAAGACATATAGCTACATAGTCTAATGGTGCATTCAGCTTTACAATTTTCTGTCATTTATTTTCTGTGGTTTCAGCACTTACTGGAGGCATTGTCTGCACACAAGTCCTACAGTGTTAAAGTCCATCTCGTTGATAATGTGTTTTTACTATTAGATGGAATAATTGGGTGCAGCTTTTCTGTCCTACGTAAATGCATACAATAATCTAAATAATAAATTTTAATACAGAATATAACAGACAAAACTTTCTTGGTAGAAGATAAGCTGCCTTCTAACCTGACCAAGATTGGGTTCTGGCTGGTTTGTGTATACACTACACCCTACTGAGACCTTTGATTCAAGGAGATATTGGTGTGGAACCTACTTGACTGTGCACACAAATGCATGTTTGCTTGCAGCTGAATAGACAAGCTTCATGCTTAAGAGGGTAAGCATCAACAAGTGATGGGAACAGCAGTCCTCATGAGAAGATGAGGTGTTGGGAAGGAAGTTAGTAGAACCTGGACTGAAGGACCTGCAGGTCTGTTTTGGCCAGCAACTCACAGGCTGGTGATGGGTACTGTGGTTGAACTTTCCCATCTAGGTTCTGTTAGAAATTTCTTTATTACTGGCCTGGCAGCCTTTTTGATCTCAGCATTTAGGTTAGTGTCTGATAAAGTTCTTAGAGGTAGCATCAGGTCAGCATTGAAATATCTTTGCAGGCAGTGTGGGGAAGCCCACATTGCCCTGATAAAGCATTCTTAGTTGAAGTATTTCAGTGCCAGCAGGGAGTGTTAAAAATAGTACATTAAACTGCTTGTCAGGTTCTTTGAAGCACAGAGCTCAAAAAATTAATCTTCTTTATTCTGGATCTCCCACTCCCACCTGCAGCATCTACAGTAAGTACAAAATCTGTGTCAACACCAGGATCTCTGCAGCGATCCCGCAGTGACGTCGATGTGAATGCAGCAGCTAGTGCCAAGTCAAAAGTGACGTCTTCTGGAGCATCCACCCCCTTCAGTTCTGCTGCAGCCTTACCCCCAGGCTCATACGCATCACTAGGTAAATCTACATGTTCTTCTACTCTTGCAGTTAGTTTTCTTTACTAGAGAAAGTGCCTCATAATTTTATTTTAATATTAAACTCTAAGTAGAAGAACATATCTCTGAGATAGTTACCAGCTCTCCAGGATCAGTGTGCAATCTCTTGCCCGTTGGGATTAAGGAAAAAATTTGCAACAGAACTGACTTGAAGCAACTTCTTAGGTTTTGAATTGTTTAGTAGTCTGCGTCTCACTCTTCTTTCTGGGGAAGAGCAGATCTTACTCCGATTCTGGGACGTTGTTGAGGAAAATACTTACTGAGCATTTCCTTTTGACATTTTCTCCTGTCTCTTTCGCTTCTCTTCCTTCCCTCCTTTCCTGAAACTGGTTTTCCATTAATTGTTTTATGCTTTGAATAGTACATCTTAGTTGAGTTTGATCACTTTCTGTTTTACAAAAGAGAAAGATATAGAAGTAAAGAGAAGTCTGCCTTCCCGTTTCACCACACAGGATATAAGTATCTGTTCCTTATGCTGACTCTTTTTGGATTATAGCCACCTCACATTTTTCTCTCAAAGCATCGTATATCACTTTCAGGTGCCCCAGGGTTTCTTACAATAAAGTTTGCATTTGATCTTTCTCTCCTGGAGATGCTGTTGAAGGAGGCATGGAGGAGGAAATGCAAGGCAGTGATTGACACCGTATTTGCAGAACTTCCACTCCGTTATGAGTTAGGCTGATCATCTGAGCTAGTTTCTCATTCTGCTGGTTTCATGCTAATCTAATTCCAGACTTCTCATCGGTTTACCTTTACAAGAGGAAGAAAAATCAAAAATCGGTGATCTTGATTTAAGCTGTGCAGATTGTCTTCACTGAGTCAGTTGAAAAGGTGCTTCTCCTTACTGTAAGGGAATTGGTCTTCAGTCTGATAAAATAGGTTTGGTGAATTATATAGGGATGGTTTCTATAGATTCCTTTTGTAGACAGGGTTCTTTCATATCTGAAATACTTTACCTTGGCTTAAATGAGTGGGTTGTATTTGGTTCAGAAGTTGAATTCTTATTCTGATTTAAATTGCTCATACTTGGTTTGAGATTTAGATACATTGCAGAGAAAATGTAACACAGAATATGACGTTGATCGCATAATAGCGTGCTTTTCAGCTTACAGATGCAACCATTTTTCAGTCATGCTGCATACTGGCTTCAGTGGCAAAACTGCTTTCGAACAATCCTATGTCACAAGGAAGAACGGAAGAGGGGGGGAAGTATCTACTAAAGTTGGCTTTGTCCTTGAAGCTGGGAGACTGAATGCAGTGTTAGTCTTGCTCTTAAAACAGACTGTGGGAGAAAAGCAGCAAATGCATTCGAAGTGATGCAAACATGGCTGCTCCTAAAGGAGCCTGCTTCCTTTTGAGCTAGTAGGGACATTTGTCACCTGCGAATTCCTATGAGAGAAATGGTGAGGCAAACAAAGAAAATGGAGTTTGGCAAAGGTTGGTTATTGCAGGAGGGAAAACCTGCAAGTGTGTTCTTCAGATACATCAAGCTTTGATTTGCTGCTCAAACTTTTTCCATTTCTTTAATTGTGGTTTTTTTTTCATATTTCTATAGCTAATATATAGTGCCCACTTCTGCTGATGTTACTAATTTTCCCTATTAACCTTTCCTTATTTTTTTTAATTTGCCTAAAGATGGTACTACCACTAAAACCGAGGGTAAGCAGTCTCTCTGTGTAACTGAGGTGTGTCCACAGTCGTACCACTCTACCTGGTCTCTGTTCTCAAAGTGTTACCTGGTTCTCATCCATGTTCACTGGTGACCTGCATGAAGTGTTGCATGGTTGTCCTGCTCATTTTGATGCCATGGGGTGTTCTTCACTTTCTCTTCAAGCTCCTCCCCACTAATAGGCACTAGTCTGCTTTTGTGACTTGACTTTTAATCACAAAGCTGTATGTGGGTCTCAGTATTTAAAGCACTGCTTTTGGTTAAAGGTGACCTTCCACAGATAAAAAACCAAAACAAAACCCCAAAAAACCAACACAGGGCTTGTGTTTTCTTGCTCCACAATGTGTAAAGGTTTGCTGTGTTTTTCCATCCAAAGCTCAGGTCGCAACTGCCAAATGCTTTCGGGAAGAGACTGGGCAGCGAGAGAATTGAATGAGATGATCACATGGCAGAAAAATGAGGACAGTAAACAATGATCTCTAGGGAAGGAATATTTAGTCAACCTCTTTAAACCTGAGCTCTCTCTTTTTGTTGTTAACTGTCTGAGCGAGATGGCTTACATCTAAGACAGTTGCAGGAAAGCTTTTTTTCAAGAACACTGAGCCTGCTAGTTTGGGAGGGCTCGCAGTCTGGTTCTCTGGCTCGTTGTCAAAGCTTGTTCTTTATTTCTCTCAAGCAAAAAAGATAATTGGGAAATTACTTTTTCTGAGATAGGAGTTGAAAACAAGAATGCCTTCTACACATAATTAAGACACCACACCCCCCAACGAACCCATTTTGTCCCAATGCAAGTCTCTTTTCAAGGGATCTATTACTGTCTTGTGGGACTGTGCTCGTATCCTTGATGGCTGCTTGTATTTGGATGTGGTGTTCTCAGAATTGCCACTGTGCCGTTGTGTGATTTTTTTCCTTACTATTATTGATGCATTGATTTATTATTTAGAGGGAAAGGTCTCTACCGCTTTCGGAACTGGCACTTAATCTTAGTGTTGAGAGATGAACTGCATCAAGTGTTTGTACTTTGTGATCTGTCAGTGATAAGGAATATGAAGTTGGCCTGAACACCTGTATTTCTAAATCAATGGCAAATTAGATGAAAGTTCCAGATTGTTGTAATCCTGAGCTTTTTTTTTATTCGTTGCTGACCCTTCTTTTTCTCTTCTTCCTTTCCCCCTGGTTCTCAAACCTTTCTATTTTTGGCCTAACTTTGAAACGTTGAAAGTTTAATGTTAATTTATGAAATACCCTGTGCGGGTCTCAATCCTCTCCTGGGCTGTAATAATATTTGTGGAGGCCTGTTCCAATAGCTGTCCTCTGGAATACCTTTATTTTTAGTTTAGTAAATGCTTTATTGTCGTCGTGCAAAAGGGTGGGCATTTTTTGTTTGATTAGTTTTTATTTTTTCAATTCAGCTGCACTGGAAGCAGATTGGATTTGGTAGAAATCTGTAATACAAACCAGCAAGTCACTCGGGGGGCGGAAGATTGTGAGATGAACTTTCAGAAATGGAGTTTGCCGTCTCCCTCGTGTTAAATACCAGATCTCATCTCTTCCTTTTGCTGTAGGATTCTCTTTTTTGGGGGGAGTGAGGATCAGGGAGGATTATAACAACGTGGCACAATACAGTAGGAGCACTTGAAGGATGAGTTTAATCACTGTTTGAAACTCTTCATCTTTGTTTTCCTTTGTTGAGACAGTTAAGGAAAAACCAGCCTTTGTTCAGGATTCAGTGTGTCCTACAGATGAGGGCTGAGAAAGGTCTTCTGCCAACTCTCTGATCTTGCAGAGTTTGCCAGGAACTACAGGGAAGGCAAAACTTTATATTCTTGACATAAATGTAAAAATTAAGGGGGTGGGGGAAAAGAAAAACATCCCCTTGCTCTGGAAATACCTGTGTGTGCAAGAGACACTCTTTGAACATAAAGCAGAAATTCCATCCACACCCGTGCCCCTGGTTTTTTTACAGGTCACCAGTAAGTAACTTAAGAGCAAATCCCTGTGGTTTTTTGTGTGGTTCAGCTTGACATTAAATCTGCAGTCTGGTTCCCATCATGGCTTTCTGTAGCTGCAGTGTAAAAGTTCTGCACCTTCCCCTCAACCGGGAGCCAGCATTGTGCGAACTTGGCAGTTCCCATCTGCTTTGCCCTCAGTTCTCCTCGGTGTTTTGTTTTTCAGCCAGACATCTCAAAACAGGAGCAAGATAGAGTGGGTTATGCCAGTGGCAAGAATACAAGTTAAGAGCCGAGTATCAGTCCTTTGGTTTTAAGTTGAAATGCTGTTGAAATGCACTTCCTTATGGAAAGGTAGCATGAGTCTATATACCACTTAAATCTGTGCAGGTCTTCTGCTGTCTCTGTGCTGTGTGTGAGGCTGTGTCTTCATGCAGTGCAGTTATGTCTTGGTTGCCCAGACCCTTCATGTACGGGTATCTCATGAACTTCATTAAGAGCTTTGCAGACAGAAAGCTTGTAAGATCTAAACCTTTATAGTCTTGATCAGGACTTCACAGCTAGTGCTGTGCAAGTAGCAGTTGTGCCCTAAATCCATGTTTGTTATACCTGATTAAAGGGAGACCTCAGAAAAGTTTCTGGTTGTTTTATCAAGAAACGGCTTTTCAAGGAGTATTTAAAAAAGGTGCGTAATGCTGACTTTCAGTAGAGAGTAATGGCTCAGAGCTTTTCTGTTATCTGGCTGCCTTCTTTCAAAGTGACCGTTAAGACAAGCCCTTCCGACAAGCCTTTCCCAAAAGAGGGAAGCATAAATGCTGGTCCGTCTCGAAACTGGCAAGTTTAAAACAAAATCAGCAGTTTCCAGAGTCAGTGGCACAATTTTTAATAGTTTTTATTATTCACCAGAGAGGAAGTAAAATCTGGTTTATTATGGTTTTCAGATAGCAGACCACTCGAGCCTAAGTTCAGTTGGACATCTTGAGCCTTACCAAAGGCTTTGGGAGTAACACCAGGTTTATGAAATCACCATTGCTGTTTTCTTCTCTGCCTTAAAGCTCTTCCTTGACCTCAAGGACAAGGAGTGATTCAAAAGTTTGACTGAACATGATATTGTAAATGGAAATGCTCAGGTAGTAGTTTCTTTGTTCTCTTGATCCATCCCTTTGCAAGTGCTGACTTGATTTGCCTGTGGTTGTTGGTGTAGGGCAAAGTGGTGCCACTGTTGTTCCCTCAGCCCTCTGCTTTGGAGGGAGTTCTTGTGCAAAACCCAGAGGCATCATATGCTGACGTGAAGGGTTGAGTGATTCTTGGGGGAAATTATGGTGCAGAATCAGGTCTTATACTAGTATAATGTTGGACATGTGCTAAATATGCATGGAAACCATACCATGTAAAAAGTTGTTTACAGATTTATATGTAAGCATGTTTTGAATTGATGTGTGCATGTCTCAGATGACCACGTGTCATTTAGCAGTAACACAGCTAGGGGGGTCCTAGAGGCTCTTTCAGGAATGTTTTTCTCCAAGTGGGGGAAAAACCCAGTGCTGAGTAACCTAAATGCATTAATCTGATCTATGGAGAGACCATTACCATCCCAGTGCTTCCGTGTATAACTTGTGTGGTTGTAGGTATCATTATTCATAGCATGGAACTGATTAAACTCAGTTGTGGAGCTGTTGTAGACCATTTCTAGACTATTTGAAAGCCATTTTCTTCAGTGTAATACATAGGCTGGGTCTCGCAAAGCCTATGTCTGTTCTGAGGACTGGTGATGGAGATGCTGCAGTATCCTCCCAGAGGAGCTCGGAACAGCGCTTCCAGATGAAGCCTCTTGTAACGCAAAAACGTTATCATAGAATCTTCCTTTTCTTGTTCCTTTTAAAAAAAGAAACACAAACCAAAACAACTTTCCTGGGTTTAGACATATGTTAGACATTTCAAGGTTGATTCTGATCCATTGATTGTTGTAAAAACTGACAGTAACTTGAAAAAAATAAAACCAAAACCCCCTAAAAAAACCCCCCACAAATGGTTTCTTAACACAAAGCATTTATATGGAGTCTTTCAAAACACTTTCTGTACCAACAGCAATGTGTCACATGTCAAATTTAGATCAAGGACTTTTTTATGGAAATACTTTATGTTTTTTGGAAACTAGTTGGGGCACTCTTTATCTGTTCCTTTGCTGTGCTGCTGTTGTCAGGATGCAGTAATGCTTTTAAGAGGAGCAGAAAAATAATGGTTATGAAATATGAATTGCTACATCTGCAGTTTGAGCTAGATATGGAAACAAACCCACTTGAAAGTAAAGAAGTTTTGGGAGGGGAGGTGTTTGCTTGAGTTTAACAACAACAAAAAAGACTGAATAACTTACTTGATATCTTATTTACAGTCTTGCTTGAAATTAGTTTTTCTGTCTGGGGTAGAATCATAGAGATAAAGCCACACATTGTGCTATGTGCAAATAACTCTTGGATGAGAATGCAGACTCTCGTTTGCAGATGAAATCCTTAAGGGAATGTAGTAGAGATGTTTGTATTGTATAGATGAACTTCTATATATACATGCTGTACTTGATATAATATGCTGTACTTGAGATTTTCAAGCCAGACAAATACTGATTCATCTTACAGTACTATAAAGCAAATAGGTTTTGGATATCAGAAGACTAATTTAAAAGTTGTGCAGTGTGTGAAAATCAGTTAACATATGAAACATCCCAGATCCCTCTCCCATTTTTCTCTCTCATACATATTTGCCTAAAGCAATTTTGAGTTCCAATTGGTCGGGTTTTGTTTTACAGCTAAAAACTGTACTTGGATAGGAAAAACTTAGAATCTTAACTTTTTTTCCTCGAAGAGTAGCTTTGAGTCACTAATTTTGAACCATTTGTATGCTGCAAGTAAGATTAATGTACGAAAAAGTAAATACATAGTTTTTAAAGTTCAGAAAATAAAACTTTGGGAAGTACATTAAAAATTCATGCTTCAAGGAATACATACAACTGATAACAGATGGCACTTTTTCCTTGTAACTGTGTG